TAAAAGGAATCGAAATGAAATATTTCAATATTTGTCAAATTTATTTATAGTTTAACACACATACCAATATGTAAATAGAAAAACAAACACACATACACACACACACACACACAATTGTAAACCTTAATAAAATTGCTTTTAACAAGGACTAAACAAACTTTCTATAAATATTGTGTAAATGTAGATGCTTTTAACAGCTACAACTACAAGTACATATATATATATTTAGTACAAACAAAAACATATTTTTAGGGGAAAAATATAACATGATTTTTGTTTTTCACTAACTTTTCTCCCCCCTTCCGACCTCTAATAACACTATGTATATATGTTGTTTTTATTCTCATGCATTTACAGATTAGTTGCTGCCATTGGTGACACGTATGGCGCCGCATTACTTTTACACATGTTGACATCAACCATTAAGTTGACATTGTTGGCATATCAGGCCACCAAAATAACGGGTGTCAATGTTTACGCTTTTACCGTTATTGGTTATTTGGGTTATGCATTGGCCCAAGTATTTCATTTTGTATTTTTGGCAACCGTTTAATTGAAGAGGTAAGTCGATTTTAAATACTATTAAATACACACACATCCAAAGGTAATTAAACTTCAATGTACTATCTTGGCGGTTGGCTAAAGTATATTGTAATACTGGATGTAATTACTGTAGAGCACTGTATGTCAGAAATAATTACCAAGAGATGCACTTGTGGTAGATTATGTGAACTTTGTGCTAAATGATAGGAATTAATTTTAATAAAGGAAAGCAATAATTATGACAAAATTATTTTTAAAATAGCAGCAATACTATAGTTAATAGTCCAGACTATTGACTAATCTATAATCTGGACTATAGTATGGACTAGGGACTAGATTATATTTAACACTTTAAGTCGAGTTTAATATATCATCTGGCGTAGAATATAGCCTAAACTATAGCCTAGTCTAATTCGAGTTTAATATATCACCTGGGCTGTGTCTATAGTCTATAGTCTGGACAATACTTTAGTCTTTAGTCTGGACAATAGCCTAGTCTGTAGTCTTGACTATAGACGAGTCTGGGACTATAGTCTAGTCTATAGTCTGTACTATATTCTAGTTTGGTAGTCTGGACTCTGATCAAGTCTATAGTCTAGTCTATAGTCTAGACTATAGACTAGACTATAGACTAGACTATAGACTAGACTATAGACCAGACTATAGACTCGACTATAGACTAGACTATAGACTAGACTATAGACTAGACTATAAACTAGACTACTAGACTATGACTAGACTATGACGAGACTATAGACTAGAATATAGACTAGACTATAGACTAGACTATAGACTAGACTATAGACTAGACTATAGACTAGACTATAGACTAGACTATAGACTAGACTATAGACTAGACTATAGACTAGACTATAGACTAGACTATAGACTAGACTATAGACTAGACTATAGACTAGACTATAGACTAGACTATAGACTAGACTATAGACTAGACTATAGACTAGACTATAGACTAGACTATAGACTAGACTGTAGACTAGACTATAGACTAGACTATAGACTAGACTATAGACTAGACTATAGACTAGACTATAGACTAGACTATAGACTAGACTATAGACTAGACTATAGACTAGACTATAGACTAGACTATAGACTAGACTATAGACTAGACTATAGACTAGACTATAGACTAGACTATAGACTAGACTATAGACTAGGCTATAGACTAGACTATAGACTAGACTATAGACTAGGCTATAGACTAGACTATAGACTAGACTATAGACTAGACTATAGACTAGACTATAGACTAGACTATAGACTAGACTAGACTATAGACTAGACTATAGACTAGGCTAGACTAGACTATAGACTAGACTATAGACTAGACTACTGACTAGACTATAGACTAGACTATAGACTAGACTAGACTAGACTATAGACTAGACTATAGACTAGACTATAGACTATACTATAGACTAGACTATAGACTAGACTATAGACTAGACTATAGACTAGACTATAGACTAGACTATAGACTAGGCTATAGACTAGACTATAGACTAGACTATAGACTAGGCTATAGACTAGACTATAGACTAGACTATAGACTAGACTATAGACTAGACTATAGACTAGACTATAGACTAGACTATAGACTAGACTATAGACTAGACTATAGACTAGACTATAGACTAGACTATAGACTAGACTAGACTATAGACTAGACTAGACTATAGACTAGACTAGACTATAGACTAGACTAGACTAGACTATAGACTAGACTATAGACTAGATTATAGACTAGACTATAGACTAGACTATAGACTAGACTATAGACTAGACTATAGACTAGACTATAGACTAGACTATAGACTAGACTATAGACTAGACTATAGTCTAGACTATAGACTAGACTAGACTAGACTATAGACTAGACTAGACTAGACTATAGACTAGACTAGACTATAGACTAGACTATAGACTAGACTATAGACTGGACTATAGACTAGACTATAGACTAGACTATAGACTAGACTATAGACTAAACTATAGACTAGACTATAGACTAGACTATAGACTAGACTATAGACTAGACTATAGACTAGACTATAGACTAGACTATAGACTAGACTATAGACTAGACTATAGACTAGACTATAGACTAGACTATAGACTAGACTTTAGACTAGACTATAGACTAGACTATAGACTAGAGTATAGACTAGACTATAGACTAGACTATAGTCCTTAGTCTGGACAATAGCCTAGTCTGTAGTCTTGACTATAGACAAGTCTTGGACTGTAGTCTAGTCTATAGTCTGTACTATATTCCAGTTTGTAGTCTGGACTCTGAGTCTACAGTCTAGACTCTATAGACTAGACTATAGACTAGACTATAGACTAGACTATAGACTAGACTATAGACTAGACTATAGACTAGACTATAGACTAGACTATAGACTAGACTATAGACTAGACTATAGACTAGACTATAGACTAGACTATAGACTAGACTATAGACTAGACTATAGACTAGACTATAGACTAGACTATAGACTAGACTATAGACTAGACTATAGACTAGACTATAGACTAGACTATAGACTAGACTATAGACTAGACTATAGACTAGACTATAGACTAGACTATAGACTAGACTATAGACTAGACTATAGACTAGACTATAGACTAGACTATAGACTAGACTATAGACCAAACTATAGACTCGACTATAGACTAGACTAAAGACTAGACTATATACTAGACTATAGACTAGACTATAGACTTTGACCTTAACTTAACATTCAAAATTAACAAAAATTATATAAATTTCCCAAAACATCAAATTGTTCATAACTTTAAAGTGTAAATACTAAATATATTATTTACTTTTGCGTTTTGTAGAGCAATAAGGAAATGAAAAAGTAGAAAAAAAAAAACTAGACCCATGCAAGCACAAAAACACTTTGAAGAACTTCCGTTTGAAGTACAACAAAAATTGATTTTTCGCCTTTTCGCCACTTATGAAAAAGACTTTTATATAAACACACACAGACAACAATGACCATGAAAATGAAAATAAAAGCACAGCTGAAGAAAAAGCAAAATATCAGCAGCACATTCACCCATCGGAAATTCGAAAGCCGGAAATGCACTAAAGTGTTTTTGTTGTATGCCATGGCTTGAAAGTGTATGAGTGTGTAAAACTTGCACGTATTTATGAATGTGTAGAAATTTATCTCTATGTGTTAGGTATTTATAGAAGTGTTTATATGCGGCTTTGTAAGTATATTTATGTATGTTAGTGTGGATTTGTCTGCAAACGTTTTATTGTTAAAGTAAACGTTTTAAAAGTTTTATTTTTTACATTGGTTTCAAATTTAATATTTCACTATTTCTTATTTCTCTTTCGTTTTTTTTCTTGTTTTTCTTGCCAGAGTTCATCCGTTATGGAGGCTGCATACTCTTGTCACTGGTACGATGGTTCTGAGGAGGCAAAAACTTTTGTACAAATCGTTTGTCAACAATGCCAGAAAGCAATGTCCATTTCGGGTGCAAAATTCTTTACTGTCTCATTGGATTTATTTGCTTCGGTATGTTGTTTATTGTGTTTTTAAATTATTTTTTCTCTGTATTATTTTACAAAGAGAAATTACAGGATATGTGAACAAATATGTACATAGAGAATAACATACAACAAATAAACCTGCACATATTCTGACATTTACACAAAGGCCCACATATCACAGACAATTGATTCATACCTGTGTGTTATAGGTCACATAGGAACATTTAAAAAAAGGAAACAGTGACTTGCAAAGCAAATATTTGCCATGAACTAATATTGGTATCACATCGTATCTCATAGATACATATACATGGATACTTCGATTTATACTTTTTGAATAATATTTTCATCTTCTTTTTCAACTCAGCATGGATGGCAACTGTCTGGTATGTTTGTGACAGTTACATTTATTGTCGTACACAAATGTTACGCGTACAAAAGGCCAGACACTCTAGGGATCGTATTTCAAAGGGTTTTTATTCGAATTTTTAACAAAAAGTACAAACAGGCTGTAAAGTGAATGTCCTCAAATTGTTTTTATAGCATTGAAAGTGCTGTTAAAAAATGGTCATCGTTTCTATATTGAAATAAAATTTTATTATTTGTGACCTTTATAATCATGTAACCCAAGAAAGAAATTGCTGTATTCGTGATAGAGTAAAATATATCGAAAATCGGAGATGTTTGTTACAACTAATATATTTAGCAAAGGGAATAGATTGCGGCAAACAACGTTATTTGAACACATGAAACATACATACATTAATATGACATTAATATGAGTATTTGTGGATAAAACTACAGAAAAGCTCGTTTGATCATATTGAAAAAGGAGTAATTAGTAGAATAACAGCAAATATCGACATCAAAGTGACATAATAATATTCGTTTACTATATAATAGTTCCGGATATTTGAAAAAGAACACAGCCTATATCAGCAATGCTACACAATTGGTCGCCATTCGGTCTTTTGTCGAGTTTAGAGACACATGCTACAAACGCCTTAGAATTAAACAAGGAGATCCTCAGGGTGGGGTGCTGTTGTCTCTTAAGTTTAATTTCTATCTTTCTCAACTACCTGAACCTCCAAATGGTATGGATATGATTTCGTAAGCAGACGACTGCACTATCATGACAACAGGCCATAATAATGACAACCTATGAAGATTGTTAAACAACTACCACGGTGTCTTCCACAATTTCTTCATTGGACGTATTCTGAAGATATCAGCAGGTAAATCTTCTGAAACTCTTTTCACCACATAGACGAAAGAAATATGCCTGGGGCTAAACGTTGAAGTCGATGACTCTAAACTGTCGTACAATTTTGGGTATAAGGTTTGACAAACTCTTCGTCTGCGTCCGCTCATCCCACTGCGATCTCGCATAAATTGCGATATAGGAACAGGGAACAAAAAGCACTTGTCGGCAATACTTGGGGTATGAAATCGCCCATCACATATTGTAGAAGAAGAACACTTATGCATGATAAGTGCATACTGCCACGTAAAGCAATGTATTTAAAGCCTATCTCGAATAGATCGTACCATCCTCAATATAAGCCTGTGGTGAAGATCCACATGACACAGTTTACGCTTTTAATTGCAATCCCACCTCACTCAGTCTTAAAACTTCTCGATTCATTCAGTTGAGGTACATCTTGGCCTTGATCACAGCGACGCAGAACCGCAGTTTATTACAAAAATAGACCTGTACTATATATACAAATATCGGAATAAATATTGTTATCGAGATTCAAAAGAAACACCAATGTCAAAAATAGCATTCCTAGACCCAGAAACTTATCGAAATGTTTATTACAAAAATAGACCTGTAATATATATACAAATATCAGAATAAATATTGATTATCGAGATTCAAAAGAAACACTAATGTCAAAAATAGCATTCCTAGACCCAGAAACTTATCGAAATGGCTCATACCCCATGGACGATTATGTGAACTCGTTCGATGTCGAATGCCTAAAACCTCTTTGTTCTCATTGTTAATACTTTAGCAGATACTACTGAAAGGTAGATGCATAGTCCCATCAAGTGCATAGTCCAATAAACGAGAATGATTCAGTCTTTAGAATTTTTCGTTGACTAGTTCATTTATGAATAAATGGACTAAATCATAGGCTAGTCAAGACATTAGACTCTTTCAAGGACTAGTCTATAGAACAATCTATAGACTAGGTCCCATACTGAGTATATCGGATTTCTACCAACTAAACTTCACGGAACTGCCGGCAGGTACTCCTTCAGGTGGTGATCAGCTTATTAGCTTATATTCTCACTGTGTTTGTGATTGTGTCAGACTGGTTCTGTGATTTTCGAGTAATTTCTACATTTCCAATGTCTGATTTACAGATGCTAAGTATTTGTTTACCAACGACCAATTATGTTCTGACATCTTGTTGATTCCGATTATGTTTACTGTACTTCCTGTAGTAAGTGCGTCATATGTAAGCTTATATCACCTTATCTTTAATTCATCCATGTTCCAACCTTTGGCATAAGTTTAAAGGTTCGACGCTCCTTTCCTCTGCCTTTCCGGCATAGATTTTCTATTTCAAAGCGTTTTTTCGTCGAGAATGACGAGGGCGCAGCATTTCCTGTTCTTGCCTTTGTCTTTGATTGTTTTCCTTGCAAAATCAATTTCTAAGTTTACTGCGTCGATTGTTGGCTTTGCCTTTCTATAGTCTTTTTGTCTTTTCGAAAGACTATCACTTTGTTCAACGGCATCCAAATGCCTTATGTATCTAATGCGTTCTAAGATGACAAATTGCTTTATATGCTAACGTCGTTCCTGGTTTTGGTATCAGAATAAGTTTCTGTTTCTTCCAGATGTCTGAGTATTGTCCTTCTCTGAGGCAGCTATTAAACAGTTTAGCAAAGATTTCTGGTCTTATATTGAGGTTGAGTCCTGGAAAATCCAACAACTTTTATTAGTATTTTTAGGAATATTTATATATTTTGACTAAATGTTAATATCCCACAACCCAATGTGCTTCCACTAAATTTAAAAAATTAGTTTTTCCAAAACAACTTTTCTTAGAAATATTTGCGAAAACAAAAACTTTTGAAAATATTTCATTTTTGTAACAACATTAACTTGGTAAATACTATTTGTTAGCAAAATGTACACACACATGTACATAACAAGTACACCCACATACACACACACACACACACATCTCGACAAATACTAAGTACTTAGAAATTTAGTTATTTACGAGTTATTTTCTTGTAATATTTTCAGGTTCTTGGTGCAGTTGTCACATACTTCATGGTGTTGGTGCAGCTCAAGTAAAATTATCAAAATATACATAATTCAAAAAGGCAGCAACAACAACTGTTGTTGTATATTTTGCATTGGCAACATTTTAAGATAAGAAACAGCAACACCAGCTACAACAACAATAACACTCTGCTAACAATGAAATATAAAACAAGAACATTAGCAACAACAACAATAATATATTTTAAACTTATTTTATAAGACAACAAATAATTCACCTACATTTAGGAACTTTCACACACATACATACGTAGATACATAACACTATAATACATACACTTTTGTTTATGTAAGAGTAGTGGTGTATCTATGAGCTTTCTAATACCACCACTTATAAACTTAATACTACCATTTCATACAGGGCAAACCACATTTTATCCAACTAAGAGCTGGATGCCTGACTGGTTGGTTGGAAAGTTGGTTGGTTGGTTGGTTAGTTGCACTTAAAGGCAACAATTGATGAAGTAAATCAGGGAATTTGATAAATTGCTCCCACTTACAATTTCATGTACTAGAATGGCTAAACAACTACATCAACAGACGTTTATTTTTGTGAAAACATTTATTGTCTAAGGACGTGGGTTGACTGCTGTTATCATCCACCGGTATCATTTAGTTGTCAGTTTCTCTGTTATTTTTTGTTTTTCAAAAATGGAACATTTTCATTTGTTGTTGTTATTGTTAGAAAAATTTCTTTAGTTTTTAAGTTATGTTAAAGATTTTACATTGAAAATGTAAACATTTTGTTTGAAGTTTTTTAAAATAACTACGAAACTTTTCAACAAAATCTAATATTTAATTTTATTTTAAGGTAAATTCGCACTCTATAGAATTTACGAAATTTACAAAAATTACAAACATTATTTACAACTTAATAAAGTTCTCATTATTTATGTTTAAGTATTTAATACAAAACTTTGTTTAAAAAAATTATCAAAAAATTTTTTTTTTTTTTAAATAAATAAATATTACGACTACTACGGGTTTTCATTTAATTTCGGAATATAAATTTTGGATGTTATGTAACTATAGTAGAGAGCTAATATTATGTAGCTCATAATATCTCTCTGAACTGGAATATAATTATGATTTTCATAGAAGGTAAAAAGTTTTATGTGGTCGGGAATATCCGACCAGCAGAAATCACACTACTTCTACTGGATTAGTCCATAAATCAACTGGGCTAAATGATTTAGGGTGGGCTAGACAGTTAAACATGCTGCGGATATCGTTCTCAGTAGTTCCAGTGCAACTCTTGTATATTGGCTACCTTCAAGTTTGACATTTATGTGGTAACTTAAAACCGCGGTGTTGATGGTGCCTCTATAAATGTCGTTCAAGGCTTTTGAATACGAAGTATGATCCAAGGGATCCTGTACATAATTTGACTCTTATCGTATACACGAACATCCATCCTGACATGTCCCGTCTGACAACCTAGAAGGAATTGTTTCGTCACAGTTTCCTAGGTGTAGTACGTTGGGCAGTACTTTGAAAGCTTTGAATATTTCGTTTACACTGTTGCATAATTGAGCACTGGCTGGTCAATAAGCTTTGTCTTTGTCCATACCCTATGTGCTATCGGATAGCTCTTCGAGAACCTTGTTTCTACTGTGCAATACGTGTGTTTGTGGCATGTGCTGAGGAGGTGTACAGGCTATCAGACCTGCGGTTTTGGTTTACCTCCTTCATTCAGTTGGTGTATCTTTAAGATAACCATTCACTAAATCAAATATCTCATCAACGTTTTGGCCCGTCGCAAAATGATACAGTCGTCTACATATGATATAATTTTCATTTGTCCGATAAAAGTTAAAGTATAAGGGGAAAAGGCACCGTCATCTCGTCTTCCCCTAGGAGTATCATTTCACCATATAAGATCTGAGTTACGGAAGCCATGCTAATGCATCAGGATGAAGAGTTGATTTTAGGTGGAAGAACAGCTATAAGAGAAGGAATGCCTCTAGAGTCTTCGCGAATGGTAACAGGAGGAAAATAGGCCTGTATAATTGTCCCTCTTTCGCATTCTTCCTTGGTTTAAGTATCAGTATGGTTAGAGTCTATTCAAACATTCGTTGACTGGTTGGTTTTCAACCTGTCATACATATACTTGAGTCCCCGCTCTTGTTTTAGCATTATCATGGATATGATGGATATGATGTCGGGCGCAATTGCATTGGATGCTTTGATGGTCTCTGCAACTTCAGAAAGGTTGTGGAATGCCCAGGGCTAGAAGTTTGTGAACAATTCTGAGTTTTGAATTGTCTTTCTGACTGGAAACTAAATAAAAACCGGCAAGCGATCTCCGTTCAGATCGGAAATAGTGGTACCTGCAAACATGGAGAGAGAAAGAATTTAATCGACAACTTACCAATTTAGATTTGTTTATATGTATACTTGTCCATGATAGTGACTACTTGAAAGACTAATCTATAGACGAGTTCAAAAAAACGAGTTTATTTACTAGTTGATAGTCTAGTCTATTGTCTAGTTAATAGACTAGTCTATTGATTAGTGGTAGTTCACTGCCACAGACTACAGACTGTAGCCGTAAGGAATCTATGGAAGTTTTGGCCCAGATATCACACCAAGGTTGGATATGAGGAAATAGTCAAGGAAACTGTTTCCCTTAGCAGCTAAAGCGGGGCATTCACAGAGAAGATGGAAAACCGTCTCTTCCTTTTTTCTATCTTTGCAACTGCAATAGTATTCATTGAAGGATAGCTAGCCCAAGCGGACATGCATGTCTGCCTAGCACCCGGTGTGCAGTTATTACTGCTATCAACCTCGATATATCCTTGTATGTCTTCCTAGCACCAAGTGTTCGGTTTTTACTGCTATTAACCTCGATATATCTCGTCTATTTCGGAATATAAATTGTCTTGTGCGTTTCTTGCATAGATTATTCCATTTAATCCTTCTGAACAAAGAACTTGAGGATACTGCTTTTTTGATAAAACCTAATAGAGTTGCTACTGAAACGGCATTGATCTTTCTTATATTGTCTGATTAATAGGGAAGTGATAGTGTAACAGTTTATTGAATGACAAAAATTCCTATATTGCCACGAATATTGAGGTACCAACAACGCAATTCATTTTAGTGTAAAAAAATCCTAGTTGTATATTCGCTCGGTAAGTTACCCCTACACCACTCGTTCCTGGAGGGAACTCTGACCTTGAAAACTCGGTCAAAGTCCGTATGTGAGGTAATATAGTCGGATGGTTAGCTCAAGATTCAGGGCAGTAGGCTTAAAATCTTAGTATGTCCGAATGTTCTTGATCTTCAAATTCCGGATGAGTTAAGCGAAATACATGCTGAACTTTGAACATTGTATAATTGGTCTACAACAAATAAATTCTAAGTTGAAGTCCATCATACAATAGATCCATATGTAAGTGTAGGAAGTACTACAGCTGTATACATCTATTTAACTATGTTGGAAGTAAGTCCCTATTTCCTCCTGAACATCTACGGCAGATTGAATTCCAAAATTTATTGAATTAATAAAAACTAAGCTTACAACAGGAGTAAGTTTCCATTAGTCACCGTCAACAGTAACTCGCAACAAACAATGTGTTTTCATGGTGATTGACCACAAACTTTTTAAACAAAACACATTTATTTTTCCATCAACTGGTGGTTAGTGCCTATTCGTCGATTAGCATTTTTTTACAATGATGCATACAGATACATACGTGTTGTAACGACAACAACAAAAATGCTACTACACTTTCACACCTGTAACTGCCCGACAGTTTTAAAGTTGGTAACTAACAACTATTAACTAAAGTTATTTTTCTACTAAGACAACTTTCTATGATGAACTTAATATAATCGTGCTATTTTACAGTAATTCAGAAAAGCTTTTCTGAATTATTCCTTTTGTCATCCTCCTCCCTATATGGTAAAATTATCCTAGTAAGTAAGGTAACGTTAAACCATTATTTAAAACAAAATGAAAATATGTAGTTTTAAGAGCAGCAGAGATTATTGTTATAGACACGCACTTTTATCGATTAAAATCTTTTGTTAGAAGTCGTTGACTGAATTGGCAAGGTTGTTGATTTGTATTTTTCACAGCTGATAGTCTGCGGATTTTTTTGGGGAAGTTTTACCTCAATGAACATCGTGGCAATTAACCACAAAATGTGTTAATTTATAAAGTGTTTTGGTAGTTATGTAGTTTGAAATTTTATCAAATAAATTTTGATAATGTTTATATTTCTTTAAAATATTTGAGATTCATGTAATAAAGAAAGTAGACTAAAGTTTAATCAAAATCAGAATCTGCAGATGGTGGAGTAAAAGTGAAAAAAAATTACACATATAGTCTAGTCAATAGCCCAGCAAAAACATAGTAATAACTTGTACTTAGCCAACAACTTACCTTTAAAAGACTACTACATACCATCTGCATTACTTAGAAGGAATCTACTTAATAATGACTTACAAATAACGTTAGATGTAACTACTTACATTTTAGCTTCAACATTCTCTTGTTGAATTTTATTTTACACAAAGAGTTGACGAAGTGGACGTATTCTTGTCAGCTATTTTTTTTTAAACAAAGCTACTTATTAACAGTTGATCGGGGTAAGTACTTATTTAACTCCCTATCTGTAAGCAAGCGTTATAAGTACTTGACTCCAATGTTATTTGCGTGTTTAAAAGTTCGCTTTAAATGCTTTTGTGTAAGTAAAATTTTAAACCCTACTTTTCCATATAAGTTTTTGTTGGCAGACTTATATATAATCTAGTACATAGGCTATTTATCAAGTCTACACTAATGTATGAACTAATGTGGAGTCCTTAGACTATTTATAACCTAGTTCATACATTAAACATAAACTAGTCAACTAATTCATATACTAGTGACCCCGCTTTTCAACTGATAATATAAGTTAAGAGACTAATTAAGAGACAAGACAATATGCAATATACTAGCTTATAGACTAACCCATGGATTGTGCCAATGTTAATAGTCTATAGTGTAGTCAACAGATTAGGTATAAGCAATAAAATGATCAGTGAACTAGACTAATCCATGGTCTAGTTAATAAGGTAGGTCCTTTGATAATAGCCTAGTCCAAATAGTCAACGGACTAGTACAAAATAAATAGACTTGCAAGTAAACTAAGATATTGACTAGTCCATAAGCTAATCTACATACCAGCCCATAGACTAACACTAGTTCACAGAAAAAAGTATAGATAATTCTAGAGACTAATACAAAGACAAAGTCATACACCCGTCTATAGACTAGTCCTCAGACTAGTTCATAGTCTAATTAATAGAACTTGTCAGTAAACTAAGATATTGACTAGTCCATAGGCTAATCCACAGACTAGCCAATAGACTAATTCATGGTATAGTTAATAGACTAGTGTATTGACTAGTTTATGTACTAGTCTATTATCTATTGACAATTCAATCTTTTTAAAAATTCGTTTTAGAAAATGTTAGAACTATTTCAAAATTTCAATTGTATTGACCTTTAACACACATACAACGTTATCGAAAAACTACAGCAACTACTACAAAAATAAATTTTCCAACCATATTCAACTAATTGAATATTTTCCATGTCATTTTTGATTGACATCGTAAATACAAGAAGTTTATAATCGATTATCACCAAAAATCAATGAGAAATTGGGTCCATTCCTGTCAATGATGTCGTTGAAATAGTAGATTTATGTGTATGTATTTCTAACCTCTCCCTTCCCAACCATAAAGCAATTGAAAACTATTTTTATAACAAATTGGATTTGACACACATCGAAAGACATTCATCAAAGTTGGGATTGATAGACATAGGAAGTGTGTAGGATTTTGGATAAGTAAACTAACAACATTGAAATATTAATCTACAAAATGCTTATAGAAAATGTATAAGAACCAAAAGGAAGTTCTATATCATAAGTAAATTTTTAAAACTATAAATTAGTTTTAAAAATAAATGTAA